GCCCAGGGGACATTGGATCCCCAGCACTATCTGGGGAGCTGTGTGGGACTGCACATGGACACAAGCCCATTGCAGAGACCCAGGAGGGCAACGATCCCAGCACATCCCTTTGTCCAGCATCCCAGGACCAGTGCAGAGATGCTCTCAGCTCCCTGCGACCTCAGGGGTGCAGGACCCACCGGGGTCTGGTGCTGTGATGGGGTGAGACCCCCATTTTCACTGTGCCTGTGGTGGGGGGACCCTCCTCACTGCAGCGTGGTGCTGGCACCCAAGCCCAGCAGTGTCAGCCCCGAGCGGGCTGGATGCTGACCCATGCTCAGACCCACACCTCATGTCATGCAGTGATGGACACTGGCAGCGCTGCCTCCCCTGCCTGCAGCCGCTGGCTCCCTGCCCTGTGCACGCAGAGGATGCTTCATTCCTGGCCGATGACCGAGGAGCCCCGAGTGTTTGCTCTGCCAGGGCAAAGGGACACAGCGGGGCTGGGCTGTGGTGGCTCGGGCACCGGGGAGCAGTGGGAGCACAGAGACCTCCTCCAGGGCTCTCCAGGGTATCAGCAGAGCCTGGCTCCTCTTGAAGTGGTGTCAGTGTGGCTGGGAGGAGGTCCTGAGCACTGCTGGGTGCTGGAGCCCAGCCTGTGCAATGCAGGGCAGGGCATGGGAATTGGAATCTTAGTCATGGGATGGTTTGGGTTGGAAGGGACCTTAAAGCTCACCCAGCTCCAACCCCTGCCACGGGCAGGGACCCCTTCCACTAGAGCAGCTTGCTCCAAGCCCCTGTGTCCAACCTGGCCTTGAGCACTGCCAGGGATGGGGCACCCTGTGCCCAGGGTGCTGGATGAACCAGGGCCCCTGAGCACGTGCCCATGCGTGTTTACATGGTGCAAGTGCATTTACATGCGTGCACATGCATGGACACATACATGAGCATGGGCACACGTGCGTGAGTGCATGTATGGATGTGTGCATGCGGCATGCATGCGTGTGTGCAAGAGATTGCACACATTGGTATGTCTGTATGCACCTGTGTGTGAATGAATGCATGTCCATGGGTCCATGCTCCTGCAGCCCTGTTTTCTTGCTTCACCTCCCCTTTCAGCAGGCAGCGTGTGAGTAGGTCCCCCCGGACCCTTCCTACAGGCATGTTCTGCTCTCCCCTTGGAAATGCAGTTATTTATACGTGGAGATAGGGAACTGTGTTCAGCCCCTGCTCAGTGACCTTCAAAACCATCCGGCAAATGCAGCTTGGACCGCGAGCCCAGCCAGATGGCCCTTCTCAACCACGCTGGCCCTGCAAACTGGGGTTTTACTCTTGATTCCTGCTCCTGCTCCAAGGCAGGCTCGTGAAACAGCGCATTCAGTATGTGCTCCGGGAAGGCAGCCGAGGAGGAGGAGGAGGAGGGAGGAAGAGCGCCAAGCTGGGATAGATGGGGAGGGATGGAGCATCCGCAGGCTGGTGGCTGAGAGGCTTTGGGGTTCCTAATTGAAATACGAAGCTCAGGGTTAAGTTTGGGGGGAACACAGACCTGGAGGGCTGGGTGTGGGTATCCGGGATGCTGGGGCTGCTGCTGGTGTGTGAGCAAGGTGGAGGGTGGTGGGAGACAGCTCTGGTGGTGATGGAGAGGAGCCCATAGGGGTGGCTGGACCACGGTGGTGCCTAAGGCTCAGAGGAGGAAGGAGCAACCCCAAACTGCATCACCTAAGGAGGGGAAGGGTTAAAGGACCTGTCGGAGCTGAGGCTCTCTGGGAACATGGGAGGCAGCTGGAAAGGATTTAAATAACTCTTTGCTGTGTGTCTGCAAGCCGTGGGTGCCAGCGAAAGGTAGTCTGGGTTCTGATAATATCTGGGCTGACACACTCCATGTGCTTAACAGTTTGCAGTTCGCTCAGGCAGATGAGACTAACTAGGAAGCGATCATGCAGGGATTCCTGGGTGCTGCATTAGCATGCAACCTCGAGAGGAAGGGGTTTGCCTCTAAATGCAAATAGGGCTTGAAGCTATTGAAGAAGCTGGAACTGATTCCCTAAGGAATTGGCCTTGCAAATTCAGGCGTAACCAAGGCCCTGGTGTGGATGCCATGGTGCAGGGGGAATCCCAACAGGGATGCTGGGGATCCTTAGATGCAGATGCCACGGTGCAGGATGAATCCCAACAGGGATGCTGAGGACCCCCCAGTGTGGTACTCAGAGGGATGCTGGGGCTGGGGTGCCCTTTTGCTCACCTCCACATTGGCCACCAAAAGCACCCATAAGGAGAGACTGTGACAAGTGTCTGAGAGCTGTCAAGGCGATGCTGAGCCCAGGGAGCTGATGCAGCCTTTTGGTATGGAGACAGGGAATAGTGTGCTGAGCTGTAGGGATTTTACTGCCTCATGTTTGGCCATGGTAGCTGTGCCAGAAGGTGAGATTAGAGGGTTCATGAACTTGCTGCATGACATACAGCGCTCTCTATAAAACAAAGGGATATTTAATCACTTGGAATTGCTACCAGGAATTAGCACTGGAAACGACTATTGCATATTACTATTATTAAAGATCAGATTTTTCCCTAAATGCCATTGTGGTGGAAAATTCAAGACCTACAGCAAAGGTTGGTCAGGAGCTTCCCACCCATCTCATATCACATCGGGAACGGAACTGTCAGCTACATGAGGCTATTCCTAGGCTATTCCCGTGTCCACGTGGTTTTTCAGCAAAACTCCAGCCCTTCAGAATGCACCAATTTGGGTTTTCAGCTCAAAACTTCCCTTCCTGAGATGTCCCCAGACAAAAAGAGGTATTTTTGCTTCTGACAACCAATATAGTCCCACTCTGATGCTCTGCTATGCGAGGCTGAACAGGGATGTGAAGGAGGGGACAATCCTTGCTGCTGTTGGACTGCCTGTGCCCCTTCCATGGGCTGAGGGATCAGCATCAGCCCTTACGAGACACTGGAGAATCCAACCCCAGGGAGCACAGGGGTGTGTTGTCACCCCACATCTTTCCCTTTTCCAGGCAGGATGAGGTAGCTTTGCTTTCCTTCTCTGCTAGGGAATGACTTTGGTGCCTGGTAAGCAGGAGACCCAGCTCCCTCCTGGAAACCTGCTGAAGGAAGACGCTGCCTGGGATGGTTTTCCATCAGAAAACAGGATTCTATTGGAATCAAATCCTTCCCTGGGAACTTGTCAATTTTCCTGCCATTTCCCCCAGGAAGAAGGCTCCCAGAATCACTTTGACTTTCTTGTTTCAGCAGTGTCAAAATGTTTATTCCGCTCATGTCAAAACACCCAAGTTCATTTCGGGAAGGGAAAAACATCACGTTTCCACTCTCCTCATTCCATCCGCCCCTCTTCCCCTTTCAGCTTCCCTGGAAGTGTTTGCATCCGTGCAGCTTGGGACCCCAGCACTCCACGGATGGGCACACGCTGCCTTCCAAAGGCTCCAAGTAGCATTCGGGTGGGTTCTCATGGCACAGGATGCGCTGCATGCGTGGCTTTGCCTCTCTCAGATGGCTGGCATGCTGCTGGGGTTCCCCAGCACACAGGGGTTTGTCCTGGGTAGCGGATGCTGTGGTGCATGCTGGAGGTCCCCCTGTTCACATCCTTCTGAGGCCGTTAGCACCTAATGGTGCTCTGGAGACAGGCTGGGGGAAGGCTGCCACCTTCACCATGGGCATACAGCCTTGTCTGCAGGGGCAAATTCTGCTTTAAGGTGGGGAAAGTGAGGCAGCAGGTGAGCAAGACCATGTCTGTGCAGCACAGGGTGCTGATGAAGCATCAGGGTGACAGGGCAAGGAGGTCCAAGTGCTGTCACTCAAGGGATGAGGTGGCTCAGGGTGGTCGCAGGGGGATGCACCCATTATAATGGAGGAGGAGAAATGATGCTGGAGAATGCAGGGAGGGAAAGGGACCCACAGGAGCAGCATGGGAAGGATTGTGCAGAGTGGGACTTCCAGCTCGGCTTGGCAATGGGGAGCTGAGCTCCGGCTGGGAAATCCAGGCTGGAAGAGCGGGTGAGAAATGTGGGAGGGTTTTGGCTTTAAAGGCAAGACTGAGAGAAGAAACACTACCAGGCTCCAAGTGGGCAAAAGGCTGTGGAGAGAGGAGGGAACGATCCTGCCCTGGGGCCCTTGGGATAAGGGAAGGAGACTGTGGGTGTAAACCATAGCAAGGAAATTTGGGATGGATCCCAGGAGAAACGCTCCGGGGAGGAGGGAGGTGTAGAGCTGGCTCCATGCTGGGGGCTGCAGGGTCAGCGGGGTTCGGGGTCAGGTCCATCCTGCCTGGGCCAGCAGATGTGGGGCTTGGCAGCAGGTTGGGGGTCCGGGAATGCAGCACCTCAACCGGATGTGCCATGGGGACACCGGGTGCCCACAGGCAGGTTGGGTGCCACAGAGCGATGTCGGGTCCCTCCAGCGTGCTGCATTGCATCTATCGCATCTATTTATTATCTCTGTAATAATTGATACCCGTTCTATCAGACATTGCCCCATTGTTGGAGCTGCCTGGGGAGCCCTTGGAGGCGGGGGTGACCTTAGCCCCGCTCCTCGCACATGGGATGGGGCCAGCGGAGCAGCAGCGCACGTGCCCGAGGCCAGGGCCGCCCCAGAGCATCCTCCGGTGCAAGGGATGCAGGCACCGTGGTTCTGACGTCACCGACACCTCACACCTCCCCGATGACATCACGCGCGTCACCCCCCGGGCAGACCCCGCGTAGTCGAAGGGCTGAGGGGCGTGGCCCGTAGTAAAGGGGCGTGTCCGGTGTGACGTCACCAGCGGGGAGGGTTTCTCTCCCCCCCCCCCTTCCGCGAGGCGTCCCGCCGGCGCCTCTCCAATGGGCGGGAGGAGGGGGGGGGTAGGCGTGTCCAAGGGCACCTCCAGCCAATCAGGAGGCGTCCGCCGCGCGGGGCAACGATGGGGGGGGCGCGCCCGGGGCGCACGTGGGGCCACGGTCGGGGACCGGGACCGGAGGGGCGGGAAGGGGGCGGGAAGGGGGGGGGAACGGGAACAGGAGCGGGACCGGAGGGTTGGGGGGGGGGCGGTGCGTCCGGTCGGCTCCGCTGTCTCCGTCCCGCCCCGCCGGGGCACTCCCCTCCGCCGCTCTCCCCCCGCCCCTCCGGGCCCTCCCCCCCGGTGTCACGGCGGCGCCCGCATTCGGGGCCGGGCACGGCGGAGGAAGGGAGGGAAGGAAGGAGGGAGACGGGAGCGGGCGAAGGAGCGACCGAGCGGCGGCCGCCCCAGCATGTGGCCCGCCCGCGCCGTGGCGGCAGCGCGGCGGCGACGGCGGCGGCGGGCAGGTGCGCGGCCGCTGAAGCGGAGCGGGGGGGCGTAGGGGCGGGGAGCCGCCGCCGCCGCCGCCCTCGCCCGGCGCTGTCAGGTGCGTGCCGCCCGCCAGCATGGCTCCGCCGCGCCGCCGGACTTAGCGCCGGGCCGCCCGCCCGCCCCTCCGCCTCTCCCCGCCTAGGTGCCCCCACCAGCGCCGCCCGGCCCCCGGAGGTCGCCGGTTCCCCGCCGAGGATGCCGCCAGCCGCCGGTCTCACCGGTGCATCTGTTGCTGCTTGACCGAGCCGACAGCCCCGCTGCAGCGTCCGCCGATGGATGCGGCAGCCCCCGCGCCCTGCCCGCCCGCCGCCGCCGCCGCCGCCGCTGTGCCGGGAACGACTCCGGAGCTCCGCGGCCGGTAAAAAAAAAAACCAAACCAACCATACAAACAAACGAGAGAAAAGACCCAAAACCGACCCAAACCCAGCCCGCTCCCCCCGCCTCGCCTGGCGCTGCTGGAGAGACCGATGGACATGCGGCACCCGCCCCGGCCCGCCGCTCCCGTTAACCTCCCGGTCCCCGGCGCGGAGCCGGGCAGAGCCACCGCGTAGGGCGAGAGCGGCCGGACCCGGGGCTGCGGCCCCGCCGGGACCCGGCGCTGAGCGGCCCCTCCTCCCTCCTCCGCTCCACCCGAGCTCGGAGCCTTCTTCGCACTCTTCTCCCTCCCGTGTTTTGGGGGGTTTTTGGTTGTTTCTTCTCTTTTTTTTTCTTTAATTTTTTTTTTGGGTGGAAACCGACCGTAACTCGGGGAGGGGGCTGCCGGGGGGGGGGGTGGGGGGCGGGAGCGGCGGGGAGGGGACCATGGAAGAGAAGCTCCAGGCGCATCAGGTGGAGATCGACCCGGATTTCGAGCCGCAGAGCCGGCCCCGGTCCTGCACTTGGCCTCTCCCGCACCCCGACTTCGCGGCGGAGGAGGACGATGGGGCCGCGGCCCCGGGGGGACCCCCGGCGCGGGGGGCCGGTGGCGCGGAGGGGACCGAGAACGCGGCGGCCCCGGCGGAGCGCAGAGCCGCCGCCGCTCCCCCCCTGCCGCCTCCCGGCGCGGACGTGGGGCAGCTCCGCAAGGCCAAGACCTCCCGGAGGAACGCCTGGGGCAACCTCTCCTACGCCGACCTCATCACCAAAGCCATCGAGAGCTCGCCCGAGAAGCGCCTCACGCTCTCGCAGATCTACGACTGGATGGTGCGATACGTCCCCTACTTTAAGGATAAAGGAGACAGCAACAGCTCCGCCGGATGGAAGGTACCTGACCCCTCTCACCCCATCCCCGGCACAACTTTCCTCCCGCCTTCCCAACGCGTGGATGCTTCCCCCTGCGCAACCGGAGCTTTGCCCCTGGCTGTGTGTGTGTGTGTTTGGGGGATCCCCACTTGGATGAGGGCTTGGTTAAGTTCCCGGGGGGAGCCGGCGCCTCGTGGTGTTGTGTGTTGGAACCGGGGTGAGCTGGTGCCCGCTTCCCCCGCCGGCCTGGGGCCGGGCTGAGCCCCGGGAGCGCGGGACGGCAGCGGGCGGGTGGTCGCGGTGTGCGGGCACCGGGAGACGGCGAGTGACGGTCCCAGCAGCATCACGGCCGTGCCCGCGGTGACCCGAGCCGTGCCGGGTGCCTGCCCTCCGGTGTCGCGTCCAAACACGTGTCTCCGGGCTGGCTTCCCCCAGTGTGTCCCCGGTCTCATCCCCACCATCCCGGCGGGCACGCAGGCACCACGCGGTCCCCCGCTGGCTTCATGCTGGCATTCCCGGGGCTCTGTTCCCGGTTGGCACCGCACCGTGGGCTTGTTGGAAATCCCTACTGCGGGCAGTGATTCCCCCCTTCTCACTCGGGGATGCATCGCACTGACTGTCCTAGCACTGAGGGTGCTGGGTGCTAGGGGGTCACGCTGGCTCCTGCCCCTCTAGCTAACGCTCGCCCGGGAAGGGGGAAGAGATCCCTGTGTCCAGATGGTGTCAGTAAAAAGGAGCCGGTTTCTCTTAAGCCCTCCCCTAAGCCCTGTCACCTCCAGTGTGATTAGTGTGTAACGAGGCTTTGGAGGCTCTGGTACCAACCCCGGCCCTGGCACGACGTGTCCTGGCCGTGGGGGTCCTTCTCGCTTGCAGACGGGGCTATTTCGGGGCAGGGAGCCTGGATTCTGTCCATGGCACCGGTGGCCAGGCCATGGGAGCTGGTCTTGCACGGAGGCTGGGCATCTTCTCTGCTCTGCCCCGCTCCTGATGGGGGGGCAGCGGCAGCCGGTGGGGAGTCCCGTGTGGAGAGTCACTGGGGCAGGGTTTGGGGGCTGTGGCGGTGGCAGGGAGTGGTTGTGGTGTGTGTGGGGCTTTCAACCTTCCGTCTGGAGCGAGAGCTGTGTGGCCCCGGGCATGTGCTGGGGGTGAAGGGGCTCCCCAAGGCTCTGGACCATGGGGGACGTGTGCTGATGGGATCTGGGGATGTGTTTTGTCAGGGCTGGGATGAGGAGCAAAGGGATTCCCAGGCAGCCCTGTGTGTGTTGCTGGAGGCTTCGTGGTGTCTGGTGTGCAAAGGGGAGAGGGTCAGGGTCTGGCTGATGCTGGCACGAAGGGACATTTGCAGCAGCCGTGCAGGTGGGTGCATGGGTGCATTTGCATGGCTGCACCCTGGGATGGGACGCTCTCCACCTTCCTGGCCCATCTCCCAGTTGGAGAGGTGCTGGCATTCGACTCAAACCTCCCATCCCAACCCAGTGCCGTCCTGGTGGGGCCAAGGGCTGCCCAGTGAAACACCAGGATGGTGCCCTCATGCTGCTGGTGCCTGATGCCACACTGGCAGGGCAAGAAGCAGCATCTGGGGGGCCCCTTTGCTTAGTGCCTTCATCGGACCCCACCGTGCCAGGGGTTAAACACCTTCCCCACAGCCCCGTGTCCCTTCTGGCTGTCCCCCCGGGTGCCTCGAGTGTGGCTGGCAGCCGAGGGAGCACCGAGGTGATGGGCATCGATGCTGTGGCAAGGAACTGCTGATGGAAGAGGCCCTGGAGATGCTGGGTCCCTCCTGCCCCGGCCTGGGGGAAGCCCAATGGGTTTGAAGCGTTTCATTCCCCAGTGCAGCAGTGTCGCAGCGTGGTCCTGGGTTACGGACTGCTGCTTCACAGCCTCCCTGTGCTGGGAGTGTGGGTGGTGGAGAGCTGGGAGCCCCGCTGAGGACACAGCATCCCATGGGGCATCCCATGGCTGTGCGGTGACTTCTCCAAACTCTTCTCTGCTCTGCGCTAGGATCTGTTGCCGGGACCCCTTCCTGCATCCAGCCAGCCATGGGAATACTGTGCCTGGCCGTGGTGTGTGATGTTCCATTGGGATACATTCCCCAAGCTGGGAATAGTTATCCCAGAGGGGAGAGATACTGCACAGGGTGGGTGCATTCTGGGGTCTCCTTCCCACCAACCTGCGTGTTGCGTGGCATGGTTTGATGGGGAGACAAACTGAGGTGCAAGCTCTAAACCCCTTGGCCGTGCTCAGCATCAGGACCAGGTCTAATGGGGTGTGAAGGTGGCAACCCCCCCCGTCGGGCTCGTGCTCCAGGCGCTGCTGCAGCGGGCACCCATTGACTGACAGTTCTGCTTAATTAGGGAGTTGTTGTTTTATCAATTCCAAAGCGCTTGAAGTTTTCTGCTCCAGCTCACGCTTCCCACTTGTTAATGGGAATCCAACACCCTCCGTCAGAAAGGCAGCGGCGCTGAGGCGTTCTGAAGGTTTCTGCTTGCTCCGGTTTGACATCCAAAATACAACAATCAGGCACTCAGCTGGTGGATGCCTGTCTGCTGCGGCGCTGACAGCGCTGAAATCCTTAATTCCCAGCCCTCCCCTACTCCTCCTCCTCCTCTTTACGTTGCTGGGTTGGCTGCTCCTGGGGTGGGGGGCCCATGGAGCTAGGAGCAGAGACACCCCCCCCACCTAAAGTGCCACCATCCCCTTGCAGGGCAGGATGGAGATGAATTAGGGAGGGAGGAAAAGGGGTGGGAAGGGTGTTGGGGTGGGAGCATCTCGTTGGCCATAGGTTTGGGGGTTCCAGGGGCTTCACTTCCCCATGGGGTGTGGGGAACCCTGAGCTCCGGCCAGGGTAGCAGGACCATGGCCCTGTCCATGTAGGCGCACAAGAAGCTTCCTTTGGGGAAGCTGCTCCAGGCCCTGCGTGCTCCATCACTGGTGTCCCCCTGAGCCGAGCCCCTGCCCTGCTTGGATGGGGGCTTCTGCATCCAACTGGGGTGCTGCCCATGCGGCTGGAGAGGCTCCAACCAGCACTGGGGCTGATGGGGATGACTGCCCCCTTGCAGAGGGCAGTGGGTGGTGCTGCAGGGGGGTGATGGGGTGACACAGCTCCGGGGGTGTCCTGGCTTTGGGGTGCACAACCAGCTTGCTGCCATCAGCCTGAGGGTGCTGCATGGCCCCGGAGGGGGGGCACGGCCGGGGTCAGGGCTCTCCCGTTGGGGGGGTTTGGGCTCTGCTCACGTATTCCCATCCTCTCCATATATGGAGAATTTTCCAGCAGCACGGAGAAGCCCATGGGGAGCTGCCGAGGGGCCGGGAGAGCCCGGGAGCTCCTGGATGTGCTGGGGCTGAGCAGGGCTGGAGGAGGCCCTCCCCTGCTCCATCCCTGGATAAGCCTCCCCAGCTCCCATCCCCGCACATGCAGTGCCCCTGGGAACCCCTCCGACCCTTTCCCACAGCACCCATGGGATGCTGGGCTGGGGTCCATGACTCTTCATCATCCCAGGCCTGGAGCATGGGATTCCTCATCCATCCCCGACTTCCCACAGGGATGCAGAGCCCTCTTGCTTCCCCTGAGCTGCTGGTGGCATCACTGTGAGGAGCCCCCAGGCTCTCTCCTCCTTCCCGCCTCAGTTTTCTCCCTCTTTTTGGAGGTTTTCCCTCTTCCTTATAAATTATCCCCCCCCCCCTTCCCTTGTTCTGGAATCGCTTTTCATGCAGCGCTAACTGCTGAAGTAACACAAACCTGCTAAATGGTCCAGCTTTATGATAGCATAAAAATGATACTACAGCAGTGAGTGGGGCTTTATTAAACCCAAGGGAAAGGCTCCAAATGAACAGCTTGCTCTGCTCTCCGCTTCTCCCCCTAATCCCCCCCTTTATTTTTAATAACCACTGGAATATAAACTCCAGTTAAGGTCCTATGGACTAGAAGAGCTCTCACAGCCTGTTGTTATCTCCATCCATCCTCACGTGCGGGTCCGGGTCTTCATCCCTCCCTCCCTCCCAGCTGCCCAGTGCTGGGATGGAAGATGCAGTGTCCTGGGCTGGAAATGCGTTTCTTGGTGTTTGGGTTTGTATTTTAAAAGCCTTGTAGATGTTTTGGGGGGATGCAGTGGTTTGGGCCAGGTGAGATGTGGGAGCGAGCTGGAGCTCCTTGGGATCTCATCGGGATGCTGCATGAATGGGGGGTCCCCTGGGTTTAGGGTTAGGGTTCCTCTCGCAGAAGGAACATGCAGGAAGGGGATGAATCTCCCTTCCCCACCACTGGAGTGGGGTCTGGGTGCAGTCAGACCCCCAGCCCCAGGCAGTAGCCTCCATCCCTGGGGTGCACCCCGAGCCCCATTGCTGCCATAGAACCAAGGACTGGTTTGGGTAAGCAGCCCATTGCTTCCCATGGCTCCTGCCTCCTGCTTTGTGGCGAGGTGAAAGGCACCGTGGGTTAGAGCAGGACACACGGAAGCTCCATTTGGGCACCCTTCTGGTGTGGTGCCTCGGCCGGGAGCCAGGCAGGAGAGCTGGAACCCCAGCACAAAGCTTGCTTTCACCTGCTGCGGGGATGAGGAGGAGCAGGCAGCCAGCACTGGGACAGGGTAAGCTGGCTGGTCCCTTCCCTCCCAGCAGGGATGCTCCAGCATCCCAAAGCATCCTGAGCTGTCACCCGTGGGTCTGGCCGGTGTCCAGTGCGGGACAGGGTGATGGTGGAGTGTGTGTGTGGCTGGGGCCTTCAGGAAGGGTCTCATCCCCATCACCCTGCCCTTTGAGCACCCAGCTGTGTGCTGTGCCGTGCTCCATGGCAGCAGGGAGGCTCCTGGGCTTTGCTGTCTGCTGCGGTTGGTGGCTCTTTGTACCCAGGGATGTGGCAGTGATGAGGGTGCTGAGGCACAGGGTGCCCAGAGAAGCTGTGGCTGCCCCATCCCTGGCAGTGTTCAAGGCCAGGTTGGACACAGGGGCTTGGAGCAAGCTGCTCCAGTGGAAGGGGTCCCTGCCCGTGGCAGGGGTTGGAGCTGGAGGAGCTTCAAGGTCCC